CTGTCGGCTGAGATAGCTCAGCTGTTAGCAATGCACATTGCAATTAATGAACAGAAGATATCATAAGAAAATGAACAATATTTATAGTATCAAAAAAACAGGACTTAGTGTTTTCAACAAGAATTCAAAAATATCACTTTCACCAAAAATAATCATCAAAATTAGGTAATTGAAGATATCACCACAAAATTAACAAATCTGAAAGAGGTACACATGTAGTACCTATATATGTAATATAAAAGCAATCAGACTTGTGGTTTTCAACAAGAAGTCCAAAATATCACTTTTTACCAAAAATTAAAAAAATTATTCATTAAAATTAGAGAATAAAAGATATCACCACAATATGAACAAATCTGAGAGAGGACCACATGAAAGTACCTATATATGTAATATCAAATCAATTGGACTTGCAGTTTTTAACAAGAAGTCAAAAATATCACTTTTTACCAAAAATTACAAAAATTTTCACCAAAGTTAGAGAATTGAAGACATCATGAAATGAACAAATCTGAGAGAGGTCTACCCAAGGTACATATACACCAAGTATCAAAGCATTCAGGTTTGTAGTTTTTAAGAAGAAGTTGAAAAAGTAAAACATTGACACGGACGACGACGACGGACCAATCACTCATATGATAAGCTTTCCTCGACAAAGTCGACAGTGGAGCTAAAAATAAGTTTCCTTACTTGGCAGCCTGGTGACTGATAGCATTGGTAAAATTATGAACATCATCGAGAAACACCGGGATTTCATGCAGAATTGTCCACAATAACTTAGAATTAATGTTATCGTCAACCATACTGTGAATAGCTTGGATGTCTTGAGATGTGTTTAGAAGCGTCTTTGCAACAGACAGGAATTCGGAAGTGGAACACTGAAAAACGTACAGTATTCATTATATTATGACGAAAGCATTGTCTACTGACGCAGTAATGTACCACAATGCAATATGTTTGGTATTAATTTGAGAAGGCGTCACGTCACGTTGTGGTGAAATCATACTATATCAAAATATAGAATAATTTTATTTGGTCGTTTGATAATGGATTTATTAAAAGAGTGTTTCAGTAAGTAATGTTGTGAGCCCTTGGAGATGACTTCCCAAGATACATGCAAGGACCAATCAAACGGCCAATATGGCATTTGATATTGAGGTTGGGATGCCTAAACAGTTTCAGAAAAGTAATTGTGAAAGTTGATATGAGATTACAAAAGACAGTGAGTAGCCAAATTCTGTCATTTTCAGTTACCGCGGGACTTACAAATACATTCAAACAAATATTACCGGTATAATTATCTCAGAATAACGTTCATTATTATTTTTAAGGCATTCAACTATATCACTCCCATAGAATTTCTCAACAACCATAATTGTGTACAGTGAACAGTTAATACCAAAAATCTAATTGAATTGATGTTCTTTGCAGCAAACTATATTTCTGAGTCAGAGCAGTCTGAGCATAACTTCACCCCTGAGCTTGCTTTGCCTACCAGGTAATCATAAAAACTTTTTTTTTTAAAGTGAGTATGATTGTCATCAGTAATTTTGTTTTCAACTTTTTACCTATGTTACGCTGCACAATTTACATACATGGTGGTTTTGAAATCAAGCTAAGCTAGTATTAAGGTAGAATGCCACACAGAAGAAAAAAAAATATTGTCATTTCATATGATGCCTTTGTTCATTGTGCTGTGTTTAATCAGATGGTACTGTAACCAGTTAGTTTACGTTCATTGGGCGTCAGGTGTGTCCGAATCTTTCAAGGTCTCCAAGCGTTCGTCATGGGAAGCATTCTTTCCCAAAAATTATTTGAGGTATATGTGACGATTTAAGTGAAAAACTAAGGCTGGCGAGGGTCAGGTGTCACTTAGGAGCACGTATTCTGAACCATCTTTTATATGCAGACGACATAGTCTTGATGTGTCCATCTGCTAAAGCTCTACAGACGCTGGTGTCAATTTGTGAGAAATATGGAGTTGAATATGATATTAAGTTTCACACTATAAAAACAAAATGTATGGTCTTCCTTCCCAGTGCATGGAAACCTAACAGTATTCCCAACGTCTATTTGTATGGTAAATCTTTGGAATATGTTTCAGTTATCAAATATCTTGGTTATGTTGTGTAATCGTCAGGCAGTGATTGTCAAGATATGCAAAGACAGCTAAGGTCAATATATGCAAGGGCGAATATGATTTTTGGTCTCTGTTCAGAGAATGTGAAATGTACACCTTTTAGAACGTTTTTAAACAGTATTTATTGTCTTAATATTTGGTGTAATTATAGTGTTCGGCAGCTAAACAAAATGAAAGTTGCGTATAATAATGCCATACGATTAGTTTTTAAACTAAGACGTGCCTCAAATGCAAGTTCTAATTGTGTCAGTAGAAATATTTTAAATTTTTCATCTCTACAGAGAAAAGCATTGTACAATTTTAATATGCAGTTTTTTCAAAGTAAGAATGGTATATTTCCGATTGCATTAACTGCGATTCTTTTTATAAATCAATCTTTTGGTGCGATTACAGATGCCTTTTTATGTTTAAATGTTTGTTATGGTTTTATTTTAGTATGTTTTCTTTTTTGTGTGTACTTTATGAACTGTGTATCTGAAATAAAGAAATAATATTTGATATTTCATGTAATGAGGATGAAGAAAATGGAAACAAAATATGGGGTCATCATACTCTTCACAGAAAAATGAGAAAAAAACGAATACATCTAATACTACAAGTCATTGAAAATGACACAGTTCCTTAAAGTGGAGGGGTTGTCGCGAGCATGTCCTTGAAACTTGAGTTCCAAGTGGCTTATACAACAGATTGTTTATTTACATCAAAACACGTGTTCCGTGTAGTAGCAATATAGCCAAAAATAAAAACAGTCATTATTCGGCCATCTTTGATCTGATTATGAAACACACTGATATGTATGATGTATGTGCCAAATTCGCATGAAAATGGTACATAAATTGTGGAAATATAGTAGTAAGGCCATAAAGTCAGATGGCTGTCAATCGGCCATCCTTGACCAGATTTTGAAACAAATTGTCATGGACATGCATCCTAACATGTATAAAGTACATGTATGTGCCAAATTTGAATGAAAACTGACAGAGCACATCCAAGACACTGCATAAAAAAACAAAAACAAGATGCCTGCCAGTCGACCATCTTTGATCTAATTGCGAAATAAATCGTCATGGACATGTATCCAAACATGTATAATCTATGTACCAAGTTTGAATGACAACTGACAAAGCATGTCCAAAATACAACATTTTCAAATAAACAAGATGGCTGCCAGTCGGCTATTTTGAATCGAATCGCTAAACCACTGCATGTGCATATGTCCCACATAAGGTACTCGGCATTCTGAAATATGACTCCAGGACGTACGAAGGGATGCACAGACGCACGGACGCACAGAGACAAATTATAAGTTCCTGTTTTCGGACTTCGTCCAATGGGGACTAAAAATAAGTAATTGCAGACAGATTTTGACATGCAAGATTGTCCCTGCTAAATGCATGCTAAAATATGTACATATGTAAAAAATTCGCGAGTACAGCGTGCCAGAATTTTGCGGTATTTTACAGGGTTTTTCATCCTACCAAATAAGAAAATTGAAATTCCAAATATGGAATGATTATGTGCCTAAGCGTCCTCTAATAAGAAAAACAAACATGGCTGCCAACAGGGTTTGACCGGACTCCATACAAAGAAGTTTGCTGATTCTGCTCTAAACATTTTGGATTTCAGCATTCCCATGATGTATCCTTGGAAGGATCAGACAGTAAGCCGTCGCATGGACCTCCGCTGCATGTTGGTCGATAGTCCAGCTGTACTGTCTGAGTGCATACTTTGAGGTATCCTCGTAATAACCTCATATTATTAAGTGTATACGTTAATCTTTACAAACAAAGTGAACATAAATAGTAAACAGATAATACCTTCTTATGGTAAATACTACATAGTCCCTTTTCAATGTCTGGCATCTTGGATAACAATTCTTTTATTTTACTGAACACTGGATTGTCAGATAATATATCACTCACAGCTTCTTGTCGTTCCTCTATGTCACTGGAAAGTAATGAATCGTGTAACAACTACTGTATTAATCTGATTAAAATTTGATGTACTGTAGGTATATGCTCTATATTTTATTTATTTACAGTGGCCCTCGCTAAGTCGTGGGTGGCAGGGTCCTTAATGAGGGCTGCGACTTAGCGAGGTTCTTGGGAAAGTGGCTATTTATTCAAACAAAAGGGCAGAATAAAAACAATCAACACGTTATATCACACAGAAAAGGAGTGTCTTTATTAAAAGGTTGTCATTGATCATATACATGTTGTGAATATAATTGTGAATATAAAGATGCAAAATGGTGACTACAATGAAAACTGTTATCAGTGTTTACATTAAATATTCATTGTTTGTTCATCTATTAAACCGAGCAACAGTTACTTAAACAAGCAGCCTCTCGGCTGAGATAGCTCCGCTGTTAGCAATGCACATTTCAATTAAAGAACAGAAGATATCATTAGAAAATGAACAATATGCATAGTATTAATGCATTAGGACTTGCTGTTTTCAAAAAATATAATTTTTCACCATAAATGATTGTGGTTTTTAAGTCGAAAATATCACTTTTTACCAAAAATGACAAAAATTCACCAAAATTAGAGAATTAAAGATATCATCACGAAATGAACAAATTTGAGAGTGGTCCACATGTAGTACCTATATATGTAATATCAAAGCAATTGGACTTGTGGTTTTTAACAAGAAGTCGAAAATATCACTTTTTACCAAAAATGACAAAAATTCACCAAAATTAGAGAATTAAAGATATCATTACAAAATGAACAAATCTGAGAGAGGTCCACATGTAGTACCTATACATGTAATATCAAAGCAATTGGACTTGCGGTTTTCAACAAGAAGTTGAAAATATCACTTTTTACCAAAAATGACAAAAATATTCACCAAAATTAGAGAATTGAAGATATGATCATGAAATGAACAAATCTGAGAGAGGCCTACCCAAGGTACATATACACCAAGTATCAAAGCATTCACGCTTGTAGTTTTCAAGAAGAAGTCGAAAAAGTAAAACATTGACACGGACAGACGACGGACAATCACTCATATAATAAGCTCCGCTCGACAAAGTCGACAGCGGAGCTAAAAATTGTGTTATGCTTGCTTGCCTTGTTTTCTACTTTGGATTGTTTTACAACAATCAATAAGTCCCTTTAACTGCATCAACTTCAAACCATCAATGTCGTTACCAGTCGAAGATTCAACAAGCAGCCTCTCGGCTGAGATAGCTCCGCTGTTAGCAATGCACATTTCAATTAAAGAACAGAAGTCAAGATATATTAGAAAATGAACAATATGCATAGTATCAATGCAATGGGACTTGTTGTTATAAACAAGAATTCAAAAATATCATTTTTCACCATAAATGATTGTGGTTTTTAACAAGAAAATATCACCTTTTTACCAAAAATGACAAAAATATTCACCAAAATTAGAAAATTAAAGATATCATCATGAAATGAACAAATTTGAGAGTGGTCCACATGTAGTACCTATATATGTAATATCAAAGCAATTGGACTTGTGGTTTTTAACGAGAAGTCGAAAATATCATTTTTTACCAAAAATGACAAAAATATTCACCAAAATTAGAGAATTGAAGATATCATTACAAAATGAACAAATCTGAGAGAGATCCACATGTAGTACCTATATATGTAATATCAAAGCAATTGGACTTGCGGTTTTTACCGAGAAGTC